ACCCACCCCCTACCCTACGCCCCATCACCGTTTATTTACTCCACTCACCTTCCCCAAACCCCAACTCATTTCAAATTAATCCAAGGCTCCTCATTTTCAGATCCAACTTCAATCCCCACCACCACCAAAACCTATGTCCACCGCCGTCGCCGTCAAGCCAGTTCGGAAATTTCCGCCGCCGTGCTGGACGCGCGACGAGGCGCTTGTGCTGATCGAGGCTTACCGTGAGAGATGGTACGCGCTCCACCGAGCCTTCCTGCGAAATCCCGACTGGGATGCGGTGGCGGAGAAGGTAACAACCAGCTGCCCTGATGTCACCCCGCCGAAGACCTCGGCTCAGTGCCGTCACAAGATGGAGAAGCTCCGCCAGCGTCACCGTGCAGAAAAGCAGCGTGCATCGGCATTCCCCGGCGGCCGTTTTTTCTCGTCGTGGTTCTACTTTGAAGCCATGGAGGCCATGGAGAATGGTCCCAACGCGGAAACGGGTAACGATAATCAAACCAATACAGAAATTAACAACGCGAATGCAATTGGAACCCCTGTTCTGGATCATCAGGGGTTGAATCCGGGTCGTGGAATTCGAATTAAGCCTTTAGCTGTTCAGAATTTGGTAACTTTAGCTGCTAGTTCCACCAACCATAAGCCTGATTTTGATTCTAGGGTTTCAAATCATAATTCTTCATATATGAATAACTGGTCCAATCAAGAAGATGAGAACGAAGATGGGTATTTTGTTGATAGCACAATCAACGAAACCTCGATTCATCCAGGGTACAAAAATCACAAGAATTCTCCCTTCACCGGTGGGATTCGGGTAAAACCCTTGATAATTTCTCACCCGGATCCCAGGCCAAGAAAATTTAGCAAGGTGGTTCATGATCATGAAGTCGATGACGATGGTGAAATGTGGATTAAAGTGCCCAAGAACACAAATTTGTTTCAGGGGAACCATCAAAACGATAGCAGTTGGAATCCTAGTTTGAATCAGGGGAAAAAGAGAGGGAATGTAGGGATTCAGGAGGTGGTGTCGTCGATTAAACTATTGGGAGATGGGTTCATGAAGATGGAGAAGATGAAGATAGACATGGCTCGGGAGATTGAGAGAATGCGAATGGAGACGGAGATGAAACGAAACCAGTTGATATTGGAGTCACAAAAGCAGATTGTGGATGCGTTTGTGAATGGTTTGATCGAGATCAGGAAGCAGCCAAGAACAGAAACAGTAGCTGATTCATAATGTTTATTAGTTTTTGTATTCAATAATGTGTTTTTAGTTGAGAGATAACATAGGTTCGCTTAAACTTTGTCATATGTAAAAATATATCATATCTTTATGTGGGTTGAAATCCATCTTCCAAAATATGATCCAAACGTTCACTAGTCAAGAATTCATGGCATTTAGCTATTAGAAACATGAATTCAAGCCCTAATAATCATTGTTCTTCATACATCAATGCAAATTGATCAAAACTTTGATTCGTGTCCTCAAAACTTTGTTTCATTTGGACACAAATCGTAAGAATCTTGTGACCAATGCAATCAAGAAAACGTGCCTTCTGTCGATCTTGAACTCATCAAAATAGTCCAAAATGGCATGGTATTGTGAAATATCTTGAAGATCCTTCTACCATGCGATAAATTTCTAAACGGTTCTATACATCTCCACATATCCCACCCTTCATAAGTTTGATTTCCAAAACCTAACCACTTTTCTTCTGGGGATACAGGGCAAGTAAAACAGATTATGAACCTTCTTCCCAATTGAGAGCATCCTAACCAATTGATCGTCTTTCTAGAAGCTTAATGTCTTGCCACTGATCGACTTCCAATTTCTAGAAGCTTAATGTCTTGCCATTGATTGACTTCCAAAGCCAGATTGTCTTATGCTGTTTGTCAATACTATAAGGAATATAAGAAATTTGCTAAATCTGACATGACACTTATGAAATTGTGTTAGAAATTTCATTTTAATGGATGGTCTAATTAAGATTAGCCTGCCTTCTATTGATGATCATATTTCCTTTTCCTTCCATTCAAATTTTCTTTCACTCTTTCTACCACAACCCTGCAAGTTTTCAGACTCTTGCTGGGCTGCATCACTTGCATCAAGAACTGTTACAGATTCATACTATCGTACCACATGCGTTCGCAGAATTTCATTTCAATGATACTTCTTTTTGTCCTTTTCAACTCATCAATCAAATCTGAGACCAACAAGTACTCTTTTTTTCTTGGATTGACGATTTCATGCTCAAATTTTCCTAAAAGGTTAACGGTTACATAGTAGCAGAACCTCTGTCCAACTTCCCATTTTGATAAGTTTCAGAAAACTTCATATTTTAACATGCTAAATAGCTGCATGCATTCTGAGAGATAATATACAAAGATCCTGATTAAGCTTAAATCTTCATTCTTGATTACAATAGCTTGAAATTTTAATCCCATAGGCCATATCAAATCAAGATTTGCAACATTTTGCTATTTATTTTTCTTGTGTTAATGCTTTATTTGACTCCTTTTCTGCCTGACTAATCATATCAACCCTTATGATTTCATGAGAATTTGTGCCTGACTAATCATACTCTGTCACTGATTTGAATTACCCACCAACTTTGTGACGGTTTTCTGACGAATCACTCTTTAGCGATGGATTTCCGAGGGAAAATTTCGTAGGCAAAAGTCTTCTATTTAGTAGTGTGATTTTGCATCCGTGACAGATTAAGAAATTAATTGTTCAATTAGTCCAAGAAAGAAATTCTAATACGAAGTTGAAAACAACAAAAGAAAAAACTGCAAAAAACCTCATTTCTTTCATTAAAGTACTTGAATATCAACCTTAGGTTGTTCTCCATTTGAATTGGGACGATGTACTCTCATATTACCACCCCCACCCTCTATTTCCATTTCTTCAGCTTGATATGTTGAATGAACACCATACAGCAAATAAAACAAAGTTATCAAACATGCCCACACACCAAACCTCTCGTATGACAACTTTCTCAAAGTGGCCATAAGAAATACATTCAAAAATATGGAAAGGGCAGCTGGCCATGGCATGAATGGTACCTGCCACTCATGATTTGGCCGGTCCTGGCTACCACCACATGGCATCAAGTACTGGAAAATTGCAGTGATGGAGATCACACAAACGCCAAATAGTGGTAATCCCCACCGTTGTTGGTGGTTGAAGTTCCAAGAGAGGGAGAAGCCGATGGAGGCGCTTGAGAGGAGGAATAGGAAGACGAGGGTGTAGGTTGGTGAATTGTTGGCTTTGATGGCATACCGGTGATAGATCAACGCATTGGCCACTAGGTAAAACACGAAAAGGGTGCCAATTGAGATCATCTCTAGCACAATGTTGAGTTCTGTGAACAGTGCTATTGATGCTTGACAGAACCCTATATTTGCCAAAGAAACAGAAACAGTCAAGATTCCTCAAATAGAACACATGAAAAACAAATTATCCCTTAATTGAAGACTTCTATTCTATCAACGGTTTTCTAATGAATAAATACTCTTTCTTTCTATTCTACTGTTACTGCTACAGTTGATTGATATAAATACTTTTGAAATAAATATTGACCATTTGTTATAATGTACATAAAGAATGAAAAAGCACAAAACTTTAATTACCTAAAAAGATCGTTGCATTTTGAGGGGTGCCCGTTATAGGGTGCACCTTAGCGAACCAAGATGGCACCAGCCGAGCTCTACCAATGACACACAAATACCTAGCTTGGCCAAGCATTGCTACGAGAAGAGATGCCACAATTCCCAAACTAGCGCCTGCTCCAACAATGTTGCTAGCCCACTTCCACCCGATGTTTTGGAAAGCAACCGAAAATGACGCACTACTCGATATCTAAGAATAACCATTTGAAGAATTCCTATTTATAAGACAGAAAATCCAACTGGAATAACTTAGACTAAAATTATTTTTTTTTGTTTTTCTTCCGGCATATAGAGTTTTATTTATTTGAAATATTTTTAGAAGAAAACAAGAATTGCTTACCTTATTATAGGGTACCATCATGCACAAAGACAAAGCCATAAGACAATAGAGCACAGAGACAATTAGAACTGAGCCAACTATCCCCAATGGAAGGCTCTTCGATGGGTTTCTGATCTCTTCAGCCATTGTGGAAACAGAATCGTAGCCGATGTAGCTAAAATAAACGATGGCTGCTCCATCGATGACTCCTTTCATACCATAAGGAGCTAACCCTTCTGGCTGAACTAAATTTTCTGTGCTCCCGTAGCATATACCCGCGATTATAATGAATCCAAAGAAAAGCACATGAAATATTGTCATTACAATGTTTAGCATGGAGCTCTCCTTGGTGCTGAAATTCCAAGAATTAACACAAAATTAATTAATTAATCTTTTTTGTGTCATTTTCACAAGCCACTATCACAAGATCCACTAGTTCATTGTCTAGTAAACCAATCATATATATTTGATTTCAATAACACAAATGAATTAAGTATAAGCCATCAGATAAGATACCTTCCTTCTGTTGTTTTTTTCTTTGCATAAGTTGGATCATAGTATATATATTATATGTTCTTTAAATAATTTTTTTTAAATATATGATATTCATGAAGTAACATTTTTCCTAAAAAACACATAAGATTCATTCAAATACTTGAGAAAATTCTACTCCTTTCTAGGAACTGTTTCTATAGCTAGCAACAATTCTTTTTTCTAGAAGAGAACCTGGTTCTTTTTTAATCAATATTTTTTTATAATTCTCATTGTCTTCGAATTCGTTACGCATACATACACATATATCTACATGTCACGTTTAAATAATCATCGTATATTAAGGGGCGAGTACCTCATAGATATATACTTAGCCGCCACATAATACCGAAACTTAATTATGAAAATCTTAAAATCATTAAAAGAAACTCAAAAAATTAATGGGAATAAGTTTTCAAATAATTAATCATGCATATATAATGGAGAAAATAAAAGTAATCAATATGGAATATTTGAACCTTGCATTAGCGTTTTAGGTTAGTTTATAATAAATTGTATGGCATGATAATTAATGGAGAAACAGTATATATCTAAAATAAAAATAAAAATAAAAATTATACCAACTTTAAGCAAATAAATCTAATAATCACATCATCATCCTCATGGTGCAACCAATATGGATCCATGCTGTGTTTGATTTCTTTCTCAATCCACACTCCATTTACATTTTTCATTTCATGAGAATTTATCAACAATATATAATAAAATCCATCAATGCAAACAAAAAAAACAGCTTCCATTTCAAGATTGCATCAAAAACTGGGAAAAATTAAACGAGATAGATTAATAAAATCAGACCTTCGACATAGGGAAAGAGTAAGAAGAACAGTGAGAGCAACAGCTGGGAAATCCAACATGTTGTAACCTTCCATCAAGCCATCTACTTCAACTCGCCATGCGTTTGGATCTTCCTGCCCAAAAGTAGTACACAGATACTCCGTGAAACTTCTTGCAATGGCGGCATTTGATAACACGTACTCCATCAATATATTTGCCCCAGCAAAATAACCCACAAATTCTCCTGCAACCATCAATATTTATCATAAAAATCACACAATTATCTATTCGTTAATGCAAAAAGAAGGAAAGAAAAATATAATAATTTTGTTTTTTTTTTTAATTTAGAGGAGAAATTAGTTGTGTTTATAGTTAACAAAAGGTACTACTATGCTAACATGGAACTTTACTGATTTTGAAAAAAAAATTGCAACAAAATTCTTTAATTTGAAAATTGAAAAATGCTATATAAATATGTTGCTGCATTTTTGATTAATTTTCTATTTTTTCATACCAAAAGTTACTCTAAGATAACTGAAGGCACCACCAGCAACAGGAATTTGGATTGAGAACTCAGTGTAACACAAGGAAGAGAAGAGAGCTGATATTCCAGCAATGACATATGACACAAGAACAGCAGGACCGGATTTATCTCTAGCCACAGGGCCGGTCGTCACGAAGACCCCAACACCGAGCATACCACCAACCCCAAGAGCAATAAGGTCATACCATGTGAGTTTTCTCTTCATGTCAGCACCAGACCTTAGTCTCATTTGGTTGAGCTCCTGGTCTGGTGTCCATGTGGCTAGAACCCTCTTCCTTAGCCTTTGTGGGGTTTGGGAAAGAGAATGAAAGTAAGTAGAGAGGAAAAAAATGTTGGTAGGAGGTGTAATCTGATCATTGTTATGAATTATGGCTGCCATTGTAAGGGTGAGTTTGTGTGTTTTAGCTTTGGAGAAGGGTCTTCTTAAATATGCATTAGAGAAGAATATAATGGTTTGTTTCTTTAGGTGTGATGATATGCCCACTTCCAAAAATGATTTCCCCCAAATCGCTCCTTTATAGATTTAATAATGATCTCATTGATAGGTTTACTGCAAAAATCATCACTATTTCAAGTTTAATACCCAAATTTCATTACTCCATTTAATTAGTTAAATCAATGAATCACTTTTTTGGGGTCAATCAGCAATTTTTGAGAAAATAATTTGTAGGCTGAGTTTTGATCTAGGGTTCTTTTAGATCTTTATAATTAAAATGACCATTTTGCCCTCTAAGTAAGTAAACCTTCCTCTCTCGATCGGTCTTTATATCTCATATATTCATGGCTTTTGAGAGCCCCAAGATTTTTTAAAGGGGTTCTTCTAACCACAGAAGCACGCAAGAAAAGTTGTACGTAGCAAAGGGCCAACCATCTTCATATCAAACAAAATTTGATGGAGGAATCACGAGATTGATCCATGAAAGGACTTTGACATAAATGTTTTGGAATTTCCTCATCCATTTGATTTGAAAGAAAATAAATAAATACAAGTATATAATAAGCATCTTAACTAATATATACACTTTGTTAAAGCCAACGAGATGACTTGGTTTCGGCACAAATCCTAAGAATAATTGACTTGATTCGGAAAAGTTTTCGTTTGATCTTAGTATTATTTGTGGAAAAAAATATTGGTTACTATAATATAGATGCTATTTATCTTATCCCTTTATCTTATAATCTATCCAACGATTTTAAAATGGTATATATTAGTGCTTATTAAAAACAAATATGTCATTAATCCTCGAATTTTCTTATCTAAAATTAAAGATAAATGAAACATATACAAGATATAATGATTATATAATTTTAATAAACAAATCAAGTCATTTTACTCAAGAACACAATTAAAAAGACAATATATTTTAATCATAAATCCAAAAAAAAAAAAAAGAAATAAAAGAGAAAATATAAGTTGAAAGAGAGATTATATACCTAGCTAGCACATTGAACAAAAGGATACTAGAATTAAATGCGATGTTAGGCATCTGTAATGTATTGTATATGAATGCACTATTCTTAAATAACCATATGCATTTTTAAAAGGCCACTCCAAAATTTAAAAATTCAAAACTACAAAAATAAATAAATAAAAAGTTGAAACTCCAATATGATCAGAATAATTTAAAATATAACAAGAATACAAAGGTCTCAATCAAATCTGTGAAAATATATTAGCGAATTATATTTTACTTTTTGTAAATAAGGCTCTTTTTGTTGTTTATTCACTTTGTTTATAGGTTTAGAGTTCGGACCAACTTACGCTCATCTTGGCTGATTTTATAGAGCGTTGAAGTTAGTAGTCGAATAAACCTAGTGGCTTTGAAGGGATGGCGTACTCAAACTGATACTAATGTAGAACAGATTTAAGATTTTATCAGTTGGACTACCTTTAAGGTAACATATTACACATAAATTGGATGAAGGAGAAACGGACGTATATGTTTTTCGGGGAATTAAGAATTTATTAAATTTATATAATCGATGTTAAAACCATGAAATGTGTTTAACTAAGAGTTACTTGTTATCGCTTTAATGGATGCTTGTGATTGTTTAATGTTGCTATATATTATATAGACAATTTTAAAAAACTCATGATAGAGAGAGAACATGCAATTATTTTCTGCTCTAAGACGTTCTCTTTTTAGATCTCTTCGATTCCATTGTTTTCTCCATGAGTTGCTTGAATAAACTAAGGAACCCACTCATAATTGCATACATCATTGTGACCAAGAAGAAATGGACGGATGGAAAGCTCAACACAGGGAAGCCTCCCATTTGGGCATGTGGATGAGTTGAGGGTCTTTTGGACCACTTTATTTATTTATATATATAATATATATATATATATATATATAACTAATCCATCAATCATAAAGAGATTCATATAAACTATGATCCATTAAACTATGATTCAAGATGTAACATACATACATGTATATCATAGAGTTGGGTTCAAATGAGAACGATATATATTTAAGAGAATAAAAGAACGGTCGATTCACATGTGGTCTTACTGTAGCATCACATACAAAATCATATGTGATTCACACGACTTTGCCTTGCGATTTGAAAACGCATCCATAAGGTTGTCCATACACTTTTTTGACTATTAATGTAAAATCATATGTGATTTTGCACACGATTTGACTATTTTAGTATTCTCTAAAATAATTAGCATTATCTTTTGATCCACCCTCATATGGTATATGTGTATATATATTGTATGTACTTTGACACACATTTGCACACATTTATATAACAATGTCTATATTATGTATGTAGATGATTTATAGTTATAATATATTTCGATAAATGTATATATGATATACATCAATCATGAAGAAGAATGAAAAATGTAACATACATACACACATATACATACATATACACACATACATGTATGTATAATTAGGAGAGAACTTTAAAAAATTCAAACGAGTTATCAAAATCGTTAGATTAATTTAATTGTTTTAGAGGATGTGATTAAAATTAAAGGTGGCTACAACTTTATTTTTTAAAATTAATCCCCTTCCTTTAATTTTAATAAAAAATAGTCAAAATATAATAAAAATTGAAGCCAAACAAATTACAAAAAAAATCGTTTTTTATTTAACATTCATATTGATATAATTTTTCATTTGTTTTTCGTGGTCTTTTTGGTTCTCCCTTGAATCTGTATATGCATATATTATATGTCTTTAGATACACATGTATGTAAACACTGTTTGTGTTGTGTGTTGAAGAATGATCTATGGTTATAGTTATATATTTAGATATGATTCTCTCCGAAAGAGAAATTGCTTTTTGACTTTACACCAATCTTGAGTTTGTTCTCCATTTAACTCATGAAATATACTATGAATTTAATTTTATAAATCATGATGAATTCATGATCATATGTACTTGATTCTTTGAGGTTTATAGCTACCATATATTTATCTACGACTTCTCTTTCTTTTTTGGAGTTAAAATCCGAAGGAATAAAATAGTTGGCCATCACACAAATTCGATACATGAAAAGGAACAAAAGTTGGAGACTTTATAAGATTAAGATTGAAACACACTAGCTTTAGTTCATATCGGAAACTATAACCGATGCAACCTATTGTGATTTTTTTATTTATAAAAAGCCATTTTTCTCGTGTCAAATATATTCCTATTATTCGAATATGACTTATACGTTTGTTGTACAAGAAAAACTTTTGGATTAATAGAAGCTAAAAGAGATATGTTTAATTGATGACAAAGCTTTTGATTAACGCCATCCGGAATCCTTTCTTTCTCGGAATATCTTTTTAATGATAATAGAAGCACATTATTTTGGAATTTTCATTTTCATTTTCATTCAAAAAGCGTCAAAAATAAAAACCAATAGAACCATTTTTAGGTTGTTCAGTTTCGTTCTAACAACTTATCATTTCATATTTAAGGATAAAACTTGTTAATTAAGTTTTCTAGCTTCGTCCCGATAATTTATTATAATGACGTATGGTTAGTTGTTATTTCTATAAATTCATTTACCGAAGCAGTTTTTGGATGTTATAAGATGCTACTTTTGTTGTTTCAATGTATGCACCAATTGCAATTTTTCAAAAAAATAAATTAATAAAAGCAACATCGATCAATGCAACGAGATTCCGTTCGCATTGGTGTTTAGTGTAACGAGGTAACTTCAGTACGAAAGTACCCTAGGTGGGGTGGATCTAGAGATCGAAGAGACATTATTTGCTGAGGGTACGAGTCTTGAATGCATGTTCTGAAACATGTAACATGAAATTTTCTTTTGAAGTAACAGAGGTCGATCAAAAGTTGTTTGTACAACTGTTTCGAATATTCTTCCTTACACATTAGATCGAAGTAAGTATATATATATATATATATACACACACACACACACCCCTGCTAAATGATGGATGAGTACTGGAAAAGCTGAACTTGACTTGAGTGCTCCGCCCCAAGTGTTAAGAATGAGGTCACCCACCATAGAAGATTCAGAGGAATAATTGAAAAGACAGTTAATTTAATAAAAAGATGGTCAATTATTTACTATCATATTGGTTTGTTTTTATTATTTCATGAACAACAATGTGTTTTGGAGGCAAAACTAATTAAAAAGACAATGTATTGGAGTGTCAATTAAATCCCTTATATTGTGAAGTCGCATTTTCAACCTGATCAAATTTGTGGTATATGTTTTGCGACTTGCCTGCAACTTCTAGCTACTCAACCTGATCAATGTCGCATGGCTAGCTGATCGTATGTGTAGATGGCTCAAACCTATGGTACAACTTTTGCGATATGTATGTCACATGCAAGCTTTTAGACAAATATATGAAGAAACAGGTGAGAAGGTATGTATAGTACATGACTGGACAAGTCACCAATAAGTACCGTATGAGCATCAAACGGGACTTTGGTTGGTTATCACTTACCTCTCATCATATACGAATACTAAATATACCGCTGCAGTATTAATTGCATTATTGTCATTTCTTCAAGCTTGTAATCACTTCGAATATACTCGTGTTTTTTTCTCAATTAATTGGGTTTACACGTAAAATCCTGGAGTCTTTATATCTCTTTATTGCTTTTAATTAGTACTGTTGCGTTTTGTGATTGCTGGTATTAGATGTTTGCTAAGCATTACTTAGTAGCAATCTTTTTCACAATGAACTCAGTATTAGATGATTTGTATATAGGTTATTCTAGGACATTTGACTTTACAATTGGAAAGTTAGAGTCAAGTGTTTCAATGGTGTTAATTTCACTACAATTGGTACCAGAGCATGCTAGATTGACATTGTGATTGTGTTGTTTGTTTTGGTAAAACATTGTTACGACAACTACAAAATGAGAGACCTTTTGATTGATAAGAAT